TAGAAATACGTAATATGGTTGTGTTTTAACCGTTGCTATCATATTTGTTGCTGCGCCAACAGCAGAATTTGGAACATTTTCACAGTTATAATAATCATAGTTTTGGTTTTTGAACCAATTCATCATATCGCTACGAGTCCCGTTACTTTGATTCCATTTCTTTGGTGTACCATCGCCACCACTTGGACCATCATCCGATCCATAAATGTAATTGCCAGAATTGTCGACTTCAAATCCCCAAGCGACATGGCCCTATCAAGAAAAAAAACAAGTGAAAACATGATTATTATTATACGTAATATATTCAAAATAGTGACCCTCTTTATTATGACAAATTCTATCGTACATGCGCTTGGACCCGGAGAGGCCTGTATATTCAACTTACGTTCAGGTGCTCCATATGAAATTTCAGCTTTAGGTTTAAGCTATAAGGGAGTTTATGAATTTGTAATTATGTAATTTGCCAAGAATCACAGTAAAATAAATCGCCATGCTTATTTACAGGCCATGTTTAATTTTGCCTATTTCGTTCATATACGATTCATTGTACAAGCACATCTGTAACACTTCAAGCTGTCTCATCGTTGAGATTTCCGGGAACTTCTAAATTAAGCATAATTTTTGTATTTCGAAATTAAAAATTCTATTGTTACAGTTGTTATGTTCTCCATTTGTTTGTCGTATCTTGATATGTGTCGCTTTATCGTTGTGGTCTTATGATAGGATATATAGATGTGATCATAAATAATGCAATAAAAAAATTAGTTAGATCGCATTTTCTCACGCGTATCTGCAATTTTTTTTTTTTTTTATTCGCAAATAGTACCACTTTCATTAATAAAAATTGTCGCGGCTGATGCTGAAATTTGGGGTCTCGATTTTAAAAAATAAGCCCTGCTAAAATCCACATGTACGTTTTAATTATAAATTCTAACCCTAAATCCTAACTCAACTATAAAAAAAAAACGGTAAAAAAGCATTTCAAAATTTTTTTAAAATTTCATATCAAAATAGGTCCAGCTTTCAGCATCAGCCAATTTCAGCATCAGCCGTGACAAAAATTTTTAAAAAATTTTATGAACAAAATTTTTCACGCTCCGAGCTTTATTTTTGATGAACTTTATAACGATAATGGTATAAATAAAATAGCTGTTTCATTATTAAAAATCATATGATGCATTTTTTGAATACCATTGGTAATTTTTAGACAGGTGCAGATGCTAACTTCACAACAATATGCATTAATGTTTATTTGTATCAAACGTAACAATGATTCAATTACTATAAAATCCAGGTGCGACGCAAAGGTCCAAATTACTCACCCAGAGGTACTATGGTCCAACGTAACATAAATTCGATTTTTCTTATTTTTCGTATCGGTGGTATCGGTATACAAAATGGTGTCACAGTAGAGGATTTTGTCATTTAGCAATGTATAAGATCTAAAATATTGACTTTATGGGCCATTAATGGTCATATTGCTTTTCGGTATCAAAACAGAAGATTATCTGGTTACATAATTTAATTAAGCCTCAATAAGGATATGGTCATATTGCTTTTCGGTATCAAAACAGAAGATTATCTGGTTACATAATTTAATTAAGCCTCAATAAGGATTAAGAAATTAAATTATGTTGGTGACAGCATAGTGATTGGCCAATCATTAAATGTATCGTTACATATGCATATATCATCTGACTTTAAACGAATTGTAGGCCATGAAAACGAATTGTAGAACGAGACAACAGGAGGAACCGTCGATGTTACACGACTGATCCTCCTGTTGAACGAAACCAAATACATCTACATCTTTTACAGTAAAAATATTTCAGAGAACAGAGAAGTAATTCAGAAGTTAGCTTCGGGTGTACTCTTGTCTTATGGGCTAAAGTAATTCAGTAATTAGCAAAGAAAAATTGTATGTTGGCTAATAAGTGTTGTTACGTCTTTTTAACTTATATTAGCCAAAAGTCAATCACTGCCTGGTTTGCCGTAAATAGGACTTAATTGTCTTAGTGGTGATCGTAAAGCCAACAAAAAGAATGCTAAATATAAGGAAAAACAATAATGATATGGTAAAAATCAAAGAAATCAAAAAGAGACAAAATAACCTAAATGCTTGTAAACTAGCTTTAACTGGAGGAACAAAGGGGCAATTATTATGTTGTGAAGATAATAGTACTGCTTGTCTTGCTACCCCTCCCTCTTGTTCTTCAACTAATAAATTATGGCAGTGCTGGGATATCAGAGGGTTTGATCCTTGCATTGCCAGAACAGATGCTCCGGCAGTTTGTTCGCATCAAGATGGTATATATTGTCTTAAAGGAAAAACAGACCTGCCATATAATCAAAATCTAGAAAGTATGAAT